ACAGAACATCGTCTTCTTACTGAATCTACAAAACTGTCAATTCAAAAAAAAAAAAAGGTTGGGTCATATGACATGCGAGGTCAGATTGGAAATAATATGTCAGAAACACCCAGAAAATTTCACTCGGTAGATAACATGATATTTACCTTATCACTGGTTTTTGCTTCTTCAAGTCCCAAACAACTGGAAAAATATAAACATACATATTATCTTCCCTCGTAAACTTAAATGACAAGACAGTAAGTCTAAATTCCATTCACTTCCTCACCAGTTGTTCCATTATAAGAAGTTGATGCCAATATATGTTGAACCTTGCTATTCCAAGACAAAAATGAGATTTCACCTTGAGTGGCAGAACCACTACCCTGCATGATGACCTCAAAAACTGATTTCTAACTAAACCAATAATATATATTTAAAAAGCATGCTTGCAACAGTAAATACACGGCAAATACACAGAAGGAAAAGACATTTAGTGGAACACCAATGGTGTAGTAGAATTTATGAGATTGTTATTGACAGTATAATAGATACTTGATGTTTATAATTCAACAAGTTATGGTGAGTGGCACACACCCTAAGAGGTGGAAAATGTGAGGGTTGTGTAGGTGCAGCCAAATCCCAGATGCAGATTTCACCATCATCTGCCCCAGATGCTAGTAAGTTTGGAGCAATGGCATTGAACTCGAGACCACGAACCTGAAATATGGGGAAAGGAAAAGAAGTAAATATACTATGCAATCTCCAAATGCTTGATGGCAAATATCTTATATGTCAAAATGACAGAGCTTTTATTACAGAAAATGGAAACTCACAGGCCCTCTGTGCCTTGAAAGATGTCCAACAAGAGCTTGTTCACTTGCCTCAGAGCTGGGGAAATTATTATGTTTAAACCAAATTAGTGTTTCATGAAGCAAGAACAAATTACTATCACTTTAATCATGCATACTAAGATATCTGTGGAAGAGATCACTTAAAAATTCTTCACCCTTTTATTTTTCTTTTTCATTGTTGTTGTTCCAAACTATGAATAATTAGCACAAAAATACCAGTAATAATTAGCAAAAAGCTTCTCAAAAGAGAAATGCGAAAGTAACCAAATCCAATCATCCAGAAAACAAAGACAATAAATGAGCAGATAAAAAGAGGTACCACTTCCCTAACAAAGGTTCCCAATCAAGAAACATTTTAATAAAAAATTCTCCCAATAGATGAAGATAATATTTTGCTTTCTGATTCTTAGCCTCTAATAAAATACAACATGATTCAAATGCAAGAAACCAGGAAATAAAAAGTTTCCCTCTCTTTAACGACATTCCTCTGCCAATCATCCAGTCATAACCCAACCTAAATAATCAGCCTTATGATTCAAATGCTAAACAAAGTAAACAAAACACCACAACATGCAAACTTCATATTTTGCTCTAACCATCATGCCTGCAGCCTACTGAAAGCAATGCAAAGATCAGGGACAACAAATTGCCATCCATTTTATCCAACTTATTCCAGCCCCACACAAACAAACAAGACAGTGACAATTTACAGGGGAATTGAATTTCAAAATAATTCAGCCAGAGTTCAATTTCAACTAACCGTTCATCAAATATAGTTACAATAAGTAATCTAGAACTCGCAACTCATGGGCACAGTATTACTAAATCAAATTATAAAAACTCTAGCCTCAAAATAAACAAGCCCAACAGCTTAAATAACCACTTCTAATAAAACATGTAAAATAACTAATTCCCCAGGTCCCCATCGATCCATTCCAAACAACCAGGCAATTCAATTCACGTAAGGCCTAAAAAATAGAAAGCCCGCATCAGAAATGTGTCACTGCGCACTAGATAACAGCATAGTATAATCCCAAGTAGCTAGAAGAAGTCACCATTTTCTCATCCACACAAACGTTATACACTTAAAACCGGCAATATATCCAGTTACAGATTAAAAAATGGACTACGAATTCCCCACATTTCCAATTCAATCGAAAAATAAAGAGAAATAGATACATCAAACGATATGCATATTATAAGAAAGTCCAATTTACCGGATCAGAGTTAAGGGATTCCACAGATCGATGTTGCCATCAACGAGGCCACCAGCAATTAACCCGAGTGAGAACTCATCGGAACCGGATCCATTCTTGCCCCAAGCAAGGCGGTTAAATCGGTCTGAGCTTGGGCACTCACCTATCACCGGAAGCTCACGATTGTCATTCTGGAAATCAAACTTGAAGATCTCGAGATTCGCGGATGAGCTGAAGGACAGATCCACAGCCCCAGCCATCGTCCCCGCTGCCATGTACGGCGCGTCCGGCGCCATAGCCACTGATGCCGATCTATTCACCCCTTTAATACAAGCCATTTGATTAAAGCCAAATTTAATCTGCCGATACAGCGAAAAACAAACAAAGATCGATAATTGTTAATCAATTATCAGTGCATATGTGAATTAACACGTACGAACTCCAAATAGAGATCTGATTTGGATTAAAACGGAGAGAATTTGGGGAATTAGGGTTTATTCAGAGAGAGAGAGAGAGAGAGAGAGAGAGAGAGAGAGAGGGAATCGACGAGGCAAAGACGGGAAGATTTTACGTGCGAAACACCGTGGAGTGTGTTTTTTTTCTCTTTTGGCAAGGGTGAAGGAGAGTGTTAAACTGGTAATATTCTTATATTTGTTGTCCTTTTATTTGTGCTGGTGGCTGTGGCTTCTATCTCCTGTGGTCGGTCTTGTATTCTGTTTTGAGTTTGGTTCTCTTCAAATCTTTATTTGGGGATAGAGACGTCATTACAGTACATCAGAAGTGTAAATCAGCAACAAAAGTAAAAGTTGAACGAAGGAATTGGGAGACTGTAGAAACATGCGAGGCAGGTGATAGTTTCAGTGAAGAAAGACTTTCGGGTTTTTGTCAGCACGTTGAATCAGGACATGACAACTGGATCCACGGTTTATTCATTGAGCAAGTTAACATGTTAATAACTTCCCTAATTCAGTCTTATTATTATTGTTATTATTATTAGCGGAGCTTTGGGCTGAGGAAGTGGGCCAAAAGCATCATTTTAGAGTCCAAGAAACAAACCCAATAAGAAGTTTGGGCTATTAACTTTATATTTTATGGGTTAATATTGTAAATTACTTTTAAATTATAAAAAATTATTTAAATTATAAATTTATTAACTAATTTAATACCCATTTCTAATAGTTTGTTTTAAATGATGATATGTGCCAAACAAATAGCCCTTTAAGTACTACATTCATTAAATGATTTATAGTTTAAGTATTAAATTAGAGATATTTAAAATTCAATAAAAGTGTAAATGAACAGAGTTTTCGATTAATTATTCATGAACGTGTTTAGTTTTTATTTGTTTATTAAACTTAATAAATAATTTTGAATAATACTTTTATATTCATTTATTAAATAAACCAAACACAAATAAAAAAGTCTATTTAGTTCGTTTATATTCATGAATAAACTCGTTTAAAGTTTATTTAAAACTCGTTCATTTGTTATTCATTTAAAATATATTAACAAAATTATATTTTTATTATTTATCTTAATCCTATTTTAAGGTTTGTTTATATTTATTTAAATTCATTTATATTCGTTTAGGATTTGTTTGTATAAATTTATTTGATTATGATTTATTTATTATTCATGAACATATTCATTTAATAGTTACAAATAAATTCGTTTAACTTAAATGAAGCGAAAATGAACCAAATGTAAACATTCTATCATTTAAATAAACCTATATCAAAAGTACAAAACAAATTTCTTACTAAACACAAATCAAGCTCGAATTCTTTTAAAAATAAACGAACAAACTACAGATATACATTTGTTCATTTATATTTGATTTATTTTCACTCTTAAAATTTAAGTAACATATTAAATATTTTACTATAATTTAATAGTTATTTATAATATTAACCCTATTATTATGAGTGTTTTGGGCTGCGAAAATGGACCCAAAAGCAATCATGTTTAGTTCTACACTTATTATCATCTCTGCTGGGATCCTTGAATAATGATTTATTTCCATGAAAGAATTGACCAATGATTTATTCTGGCTGTGATCACTGTAATTCTACCCTTAATTTTCTAGGCCTGCAACCAGCATCAGAAATAGTAGAATTCTAACAATAAAGTCAATGCTACACCAATTCTACATCTCTGAACAATAGTTATAACTCAGCTCTTTTTTGTTGGCTAATGTTCTAGATGGTTTGATACCTGTTGCCCTCCCTGGCAAAAATGAAGTTGCTGTCCTTATCATGTTATTGTAGTCAATCTTCTACCATCAGGTTGCTAAGTGATTATCACAAGAGAAAGAAACCTGAGACAGAAACCAATTCCAATGATTCAGGGAGCCATTTGGGGCTGATATGATCCTTTCCTTCAAGGTTTTTGCTTTGCCTTTAATAGGGATAAGGTATAGACTAAATTTTCAGATGCTGGATATAGTTTAGTCTTAACAGTTATTGGAAAAAAAGTGAGGGATATAGCAAATCTTTTTATCTTGTACCACAATGGTCCTAGTTTGCTTTCCATTGCACCATTCTTTGCCAATTGAATTAGTGAGGTTGCATTACATGTTTCATTTGGTGACTGAGAAAATTTCCAAGGTACCCCGCAACTTCATGGGATTTCAGAAACTCCTCAAAACTATTCATTGCAAGACATCGATTCATTAGCTGGTCCAAAACCGACAAACCAAGATTCTATGTGTTCTGGCAGGAAACAAGCCAACTGCTTGAAGAAGACATGTGGATGTCACTCAGCGTTCAGCAAGTTACCACTGATGAATACAGCAGTGTTTTTGTTTGTTCAGATTTGAATATGGGAAGTTGAAACTGATATAATGAGATGCAATTCTATTTCCATTATTAATTTTGGAGATACAATACTTCTATCTAAGAAATAATCCAAGCAAAAAAATTTAAACGTGTGTGTTTGTTTTCTATTTACATAAGGAATTGTGGAATTAAGGCTATTGCTTGCCTTGTCGAACAAGGAGAAGCAGTTCATTTCTGTCTGCCAATTCTTCAGAGAACAGATTATCAACCTGCTTTTCCAAAGCTTCCAACTGCTTCTCGAAAACACCCAACCTTGTCTCCAAATCCATGGCTGCATCACTGCTTTTCCCAGAGACTAGGGCTGATGCCAGGGAAGCTGCTGCAGTATTCAGCTCCTTAACCTCTCTCAAAAGTACGTCACCTTTATCCACTATACCGTCAGAAATGCATGAATCTACATCAATTAGCAAAGCACTATTGAACCTGGCAATCAGTTGTTTGATCTCCAAGTATGGTTTAGCCTCTCCAGACAAGCTAGCCAAAACAACGCCACAAACCCAAAAGCCGATATTCTTTATTTCCATTAAAGCTTCATTGACAACCCTTTCCTTGCGGGAGGAGAACTTATCGTCACCATCTTTCTTGTTTTCGTGTCCTTTATAGTCGTTGCTTGAACTTTGCGGCTGAATTGCTTTGAGATGTTTAATTGCCAAAGAAGGTGAATTCCCCAGAAGGCTTAGAGCATGAGCAAACGAAAGCCGAGCGTGGGCCAGATGAGAAAGAGAGGAACTAACAGAATTGAGAAGCTCCAGCAAATGCAAGCTGTAGCTGAGATACTCGTCCACAGAAGCAACTTCCCAGCTGCTCATGGGGTAGTCCATATCCACAACTAGCTTTGCAAATGCCCTGTTGATAAGAGACAGGAGCTCAAAACATTGTTGAATCCATGACAACGACAAGATCTCTGACCCGGGTTTTGAATTCAACAACTGGTTCAGGCAATTCGAAACATCAGATCGAAAAGCCTGTAGAGAAACTGATAAAACATCAGACTCCGATTGCTGGTGGTGGTGAGTCTGCATCTTGGAGTATAATTTGCTAAGCCTTTCTACCAAGAGTACCGTTGACAACCTACAACAAAATTTGTTAAGGTTTTTGGTTTGGTTTTGGTCAGATGCGTTGTTCAAATTTAGGTATTATACAAGATAAGAGAGGTCAGAGGTTGGTGGTGTTGCAAACAGATCAGCAGCGTGTGGTGTTCAAAGACTCCCCAATTCAAAACCAGGTGAAAGATTTGCTGTAGTCAAATCAAATGTGCTTATCATGCTTGTTGGTGTTTATTTTTTTGTCCAACACGGTTTGTACAATTGGGCCACTTGCAGCCATGATTTCCAAGCAATCCCACCAATCCTGGGCCCTGGAGGCTCCCTTGAGGTTGGACTCACTAGTTTTTACCCATTTTTCACGCAGTGTTCAAGTTGCTTCTTAGAGGCGTTGTGCTTCACATTTAACAAGCTTTCACACGCATGAATTTTTTATGTTCATCATGATGGCTGAAACATGCGAATGGCTATAAATTAAAGGGTCGAAACAACACGTAGAAACAATCGATTTTTTTAATAACTTTGTTTTAAAAAGACTGCATGTTACTTTAATACAAGGTACTAACAACGAAAGAAAGCATGTTAAAAATTTATGAGTGTCGAGCAAATAATCATATGATCTTGAAAGTGAGCTTGCGTCCTCTAGGAGAGAAGAAAAGGAAACAAGAAATCACAATGTCAAAACTCAAATGATATTTGATATAAAAAAAGTAATCCACATAAATATCAATATCGGGCAGAATTTGCAGCCCAGGCCCCCATGTTTAAAGCATCATAATGAAGGCTTTTCAATAAGATTCAAATTGTTGCTTATGGAGCAAAGGGAGCCCAATTACATAGTGCTATTACTTATATCCCAGATCTCAAGTACCAATAGGGCACAAGATCAGGACACTCACAGATTGTTAGAAACTGAAAAGAAGTGAGACTTAGGTAGGGACTTGAGACTGTATGTAATGTAACGGTATCTATGATGTATCAGTCTTTTTCAACTTGGTGTGTAAAACCATAGAATAGCTCTTTATGTTTCACTTTTCTGCGTTCATGGTTTATGGTATGTGCATGTCTCTCTGGCTTGTTTCTGCTTCCTCCATTTCGAGTGTAATCAATGTTCAGATCCTTTTTCAACCAGTTTCTTTTCAATGTTTACTTTTACTCATGCAAGATACAAAATGTTGCTCATAATGAATAGGATAAAGTGTGTCTCCATTGTGTTATTCATAGAGTATGAGGGTGGGCAGTTGTTGTTTGGGGGTATCATGATATGAAGAATTTGGCAATCTGATAATTCTGTTGATGATATGGTATGGCTGGTTCTTATGCCATCACACTAAAGAATTACACATATATAAGTGAGGTAAAATAAATAACATATAATTATCAGGTACTTAAAACAGTCATGATTTGAACATGAAAATGATAATCCGACACTCATATCATCAGATCAAGCGATTGTTGGCAAATAACGTCTATTTATCAAGAATGCATTTCACAGAAATGATCTTCAACAAAAAGGTGGGTTTGGATTGTTGTATTTCTTGAACAAAAAAAAAAAAAGCATCTTACAATCCATGCAGAAGGTTCTGCGGTTAGAACGTTCTTGACAAAGCATCATTACTACTCCTTCACATCACCAGAAGAGTCTGTGGGTAGCTTGACAATACTTAGTTGGCCTCCATCCTTGTTGGCAATAGTGGCTGCCTTTATCTCATTGCAGTGATTTATGAACTTGGTCAGCTCCTGGTCTCATCAGGTAAGAAGAGAGATACGTCAGCAATACTCTCATGTAGAAAATGTCAAAATAAGGAAAGCAAATATATTTCTGCTTGTAGTTTCATGAAGCAATAGTTATGATGCCAATGCCTGCCTTCAATGGTAAAAGATAGCTAAAATGACTCCCTTGCAATATTTAATTTTAATCTCTTCAACTAACACAGGAATCCTCATAACTAACTGCAGCTCATATTCTATTAGGCTGAGTTCAGCTAATGTCAAGATTAACTCAACATCCCAACAGGTATGCTCAAAACCAGTTTTCCCCAAATCAACCACTAATAACATGATTATCAATGAATTCAGTTTCACTCAAGCAAGTTAAACAGAGGACCAGACCGGATGCAGTGACACCCATATTAAAAACAGATATCTTCCACTCCCATTTTTACCCTTATTCAAACAGATAGATGCTACATCGTTCCAATTATACAAAATAAGCATGCAGATAGATTGCAGATTCTTTTTTTTTTTTTTTTTTTTTGAGAACAAGAGAGATACAAAGAGTACATGAGGTACCAAAATGAAACAATTATAAGAAACCAAAGTAAAGTTGATGCAAGAAAATCATTTAATGTGCATTTGGAACTTACATTAACCTTCTGTCCCCTCTCTCTCACACACACACCACCAGACACTCTCTATTTTCACACTAAGGAAACAAAAAGCAGCGAAAAAATGAAGGCTCAAAGATGCAATTCTTTTGAATACAAAAGGTCTGAGAATGCATAATATACATCAGTCAAGGAAATCTTCAAGCACAGCTTGCTGAATTGGTTTCACAGTGCCATTTGGACGACTTATTTACCTAAAGAATACTGCAAACATTCATGGTTGTGAACTAATTCACCTAATGTCAACAATCCCTTATGAGCAAACTAAATCCAAGCTAGCAAATTCTGCCCTCTATGATTAAAACAAAAGACTCGATATGCAACTATTAATCGAATTTCATTGAACAGATCATAAGATAAGCAAAGAAACACAGAAGCCAGGTATAGGAAAATAAGACCCGGCAATCTAAACACGACACAGTGACACTACACAAACACTATACTCTATAAAGGACATAAAAGTGATACGATTTAAAATTTTAGCAATAGCTATATGAGTTTAACAAAAAAGAGAAAAACATTTCATGTTTTCATGTAATACAAAATTTTCGCATAAAAATACATGAATTTTAGAATTTTCGTATAAAACACACACGAATACATGAATTTCACTATTTTACCAGAAAGGAATACACGAATCGCCAGGTCCACGAAAAATCAAGACAACAGAATTCAGCAAAAATTTGAAAAAAAAAAAAAGAAAGAGAGTAAAGATGAAGAATTGAAACTTTACCCGGTCAGCGTCCATCTCTTTCGTAATCTTTGAAGGCTTGACGACTCTCTTACCTGCAAAGAATCGAAATTTAGTCATAACCAATATATTTATAAACAGAGCTTATATTATTCTATAGTTAAAAGAAAAATGAAACCTTTGCGAATGTGAGGAAGCTTTCCATGGCGATTGGGAGGGATTGTTTTCTGCTTCTTTTGCCCTTTAAACAGATTCCCTTTCTGCGTCATATCTCTCTTTCTCTGCGACTCGATTGCTAGGTGTTTTGCTGGACACGCTTTTTCAGTAAGCTGTGCGTTAGGGTTTTGTGAACCGACTAATTGCTGGCCCAGGAAGGCCGGTCCTAAGTATGGTCTTATATAATCTAAACGTGTGAATGAATAGTTGTATATATTCATAAACATACGAATTATTGGTAAATACGTTTGACTTTTATTTGTATATATTTATTTATTAAGTTTAATAAATAATATTAAATAATATTTTTATATTCATTTATTAAATAAATTAAATATAAATAAATGTCCATTTATTTTATTTATATTGTAGAAAAACTCATTTAGAGTTCGTCTAAAATTCGATCGTTTATTGTTCGTTTACTGTTTGTTTATAATAATATTAATAAAATTATATTTTTATCTTTTATTTTAATCTTAAAGTTTATTTATGTTTGTTTGGATTTATTTATATTCATTTAGAATTTATTTGTTTAAATTTATTTGATTATAATTTATTTATTGTTTATAAATATATTTGTTTATATATGTTATTAGATATGTTTAATTAATATTCATGAATAAACTCATTTAACTTAATTGAATGAATACGAATTAAATATGAATAACTTATTATTTAAACAAACAAATATGAACGAATAGAATAATTTTTTTAACAAATATAAATCGAATATGAACATTTTAAAAATTAAATAAACAAATATAAAAATACATTCATTCGTTTATGTTCAATTTATTTACAATCCTAATCTTATCTAGGGATGATAACGGTTTCGATTCAATTTTTTAAGATAATGTATAAATTTTTAAATTTTTAAAATTTTGATATAAATTATTATTGAATTTTCATATAATTTGATCCGAACTGAAATTTACCGATTCAATTTTGTTAATTAATTTTTTAAATTTATATTATTTTAATATAATTTTTAATATATTTAAATAAATTTAGATATAAAATAATTATTTTTATTTTATATAAATTAATATATAAGCTAATAAAATTATTTTTTGCCATTTAGTTTAATAACTAAGGAATTTTTATAAGGATATAAAGATCTTGGTTTCAAATTAAAATCTCCTCCCGCTTTTCCTCTTATAAACGTTATTACCTCTCCTAAAAAAAAACTAATAAAATTATATAATTCAAATTGATTTAGTTTTTTTTTTTAATTTTTAATTTTTTGATTCAAAATTTAATTCAAACTTAATATATATATATTTATTATTCGAATCAAACAAAAAAAATAATTCAAACTAAATCGAATATTATAACTTTGAGCCGATTTTTTATTTTTTCAAATTTTTTTACAATCCTAATCTTATCCATTACTATTGGTCTTATCTACTGCTCATTATTTCCTTTTACAAAATAAAATAGGTCAAAATTTTCAAGAAAATATGATTTAATTTTCATACGATAATTTAAAAAAAATGAGTTTTTTATTTTTTAGAATTTTAAATTTTAATCCAATTAAGAATAAAATAATTTTCACTTAATTTTGGCATAGAAAGTATTTAAATATTTGTAATTAATTTTTTTATTTTTTATTTTTAAATTATGATTTTTTAAAAATATAAATTTGTTTAAAAAAGGTTTAAACAAAGGAATACTTTTGGTAAAAGTAAATCATTTATTATCTTAATAAAAAAGAGGTGTTTATACACTATTTTCAATAGCATCCTCCCGTATGGGTAAAACAAAAATTTAAAATTGATTCGAAATTTTAATGATTAATTTGGTTCAAATAAAATTTTTTTATTAATTAATTTAAATTAAATTTAAATATTAGATGTATATATTATATTCATATTCTAAAAGTAAAAAACAAAAAAAAAAAACTGAATCAAAATTAATTATATATTTTTATTAATTTATATATATTTTAAATTTTTATAAAATCAAATAATTATTATATATATAAAATTATTTAAATATATTAAAAATTATATTAAAATAATATAAAATAACAAAAATGTTAAAATTTAAAAATTAATAAATTAAGCTGATAAAATTCAATTTAAATCCAATCGTATTATATAAAAATTCAATTAATATTCAAATCAAATTATAAAAATTTATAATTTTATGTATTATAAAAAAATTAAATCGAACCGAAATTTATCTTATCTTACATATAGTATTTCCAATAGGATGCTTCCGGGTCAGCAGACATTGCGACAATCGAAAAGACAAAAAACACCCTCTAAACTCAACCGTGGTCCGACCAAACGATCAAAGTCAACCAAACTTATCTTGACTTTGTTCATGACGTGATGCCAAAGTGACAAAGTCAAACAGGGAACAATTCCCTCGCGCCTTCTTCCCTCCGAATTTAGGCCTCAATTTCCGCTGCAACTCCAAAAACCCTCCGTTTTTTTTTGTTCTTCTTCTCTTCCCTTTGTGTCACCCGACGTTGACTGACGGCTTCTAGATTCAGCCAGTCAGAATTCGAAAACAATGTGCGGGATCTTCGCTTACCTGAATTACAACGTCACGCGTGACAGACGCTTCATTCTTGAGATCCTTTTCAATGGCTTGAGGCGGTTGGAGTACAGAGGCTATGATTCCGCTGGGATTTCCATCGATTCGTCGGATCCAAACCGACAGTTTTCCGATTCTGCCCCTTCTCCTCTCATCTTCCGCCAAGAAGGCAACATCGAATCGCTGGTTAAATCCGTCTACAAAGGTAATTTATTTTTCTTCTTTGACGTGAAAATTGTTTCAATTTTGAGAAGCTGTGCTTTGAAAAGTCATTTTCTTTGTTTTTGGAACAATTGTCCCAATTTTAGTTGAAATAATTGTGCTCTAGTGTTTGGGTTTAGAGAAAATAGTGGAAAAGAAAACGAAATAAATGAAATTAGAGAACGATGTTTGATTTTTGTTCTGTTCTGTTTTCCAAAGGATGGAATAGATTGGCAATTCTGTTTTCGTAAAGTGTAAAATATTGATAATTCGTGTATTTATGTCACAATTCGAATCCACACAAAAATATCAAATATATTTTTTTTGTTAAAATTTTAAATCATGTCACGTTTGTGTCTTTTGTTCTAATCGTGTTGTATCGGCGTGTCCTGTTTTAAATTATGAAGTCTAAGATGGAAGACTTTAATAAATTTATTTGGGAAAATGAATTTAAAATATTGATATTGGTATTTCAGATGTTGCGTCAATAGAGCTGAATTTGGAGGAACCTTTTGCTGTTCATGCTGGAATAGCACATACCAGGTGGGCAACTCATGGAGAGCCATCTCCCAAAAATAGCCATCCTCAGACATCAGGTGCTGGAAATGAGTTCTTGGTTGTTCACAATGGAGTTATTACAAACTATGAGGTTTGCTTAAGAAGCACTGTTACTCCTTAATCTTTATTTCTTGTATTATTGGTTATTCGAATTGCTTTTTCTTTCCCTTTTCTTACATGTACATTGATAATTGAGCACATGTTTAAGCACTCATCTGGTTGTTAACATTTTTAGGTGTTGAAAGAAACACTGATCCGGCATGGATTCAACTTTGAATCCGATACTGACACAGAAGTCATTCCAAAGCTTGCCAAATATGTTTTTGACAAGGCAAATGAAGAAGGTAATCATAACTTGTGTGCTACAAAGAGACGGGGTTTTTGAATTGCAACTAGTTTTTCTATATAATTTTTTGGGATAAAATGGTGGTTTTTTTAATCCAAGAAGCAGTGAAAAGGAACCTGCTACCTATAAAACTGTACAATTGAAATTACTTATTTCTGCTAAATAACTGCATATATGCCTGTTAATGATGCAAGGGCCTGAGGGTACTTTCTTTAAAAGGGCAGGGAAGGAGGGGTTAAAGGTTAGAATTTATTGACTGGTAAGGTTTAGGCAATCTTAGTACATGGCTGTGGTGCTTTTTCGTAATATACTTAGCTATCTGACTAGTTCAAGAATCATACAGTTGGAAATGTTCTAGACATAAATGCACAGATGGGTCTGTCTTTTAATGCCTATCCTGCATTAAGTTAATTTTTGAGACAATCATCTAAGTTTTCTCATCAGACAAATATCTAATTCAGCTCTGGTGTTACTTATGGATGACAGTCTGGGTTAAAATCCTCATATCTTATTTTGGTGAAAAAGATGTTTTATTAATCTATGTTAATCAATTTTTGTGCTTCTTATTTCCCATAACCTTAAGAAGGTCAATATTGGCTGATTTTAGTTTGAAATTGTGTTTTACTGTTTATCCTGCAGGTGAACAGACTGTCACATTTAGTCAAGTTGTACTTGAAGTTATGAGGCATCTTGAAGGAGCCTATGCCCTTATATTCAAAAGTCCTCATTATCCAAATGAGTTGATTGCTTGTAAACGTGGTAGCCCATTGCTCTTGGGTGTCAAAGTAAGTTATCTGAAAAACATTAATTATGGAGTTGCCGACTTTAAGATACTTGTTAAATCACTTCCAATTGAATAATATTTTTCAGATTGATTTAGTGCACATCTTATCTTTTCTGGTATGAGGTAGATTTGGTATTGTTACTTCAACCTTTTCATGATTTGAAACCTCTGAAATCATGGACTCACTTTAAATATTTAATTTTTTTTAAAAGTAGGGGAATTTGAGTTTTTTTTTTGTTATGTAATTTGTAATTTGTACAATATCTTTTTTCTTTCTTCTTCGTTTATGTTTGATTTGGTTGACCCTTATTTTGGTTATTGTAACATGTTCAGGAATTAAGTGAAGACATGGGCAGAGGAGCTTCATTTCTTGATCTTAAGTTCATTTCAGAAAATGGGCATCCAAAAGAATTTTTTCTATCCAGTGATGCTAGTGCTGTGGTTGAACACACAAAAAAAGTTCTGGTGATTGAAGATAGTGAAGTAGTTCATCTTAAGGTACCTTTGTTGACATGACTTTTAAGTAAACCGTTTGGCATGGCTCAAAGAGTGACCTAGAAGCTTTTTTACATTGAAGTTTACTTTCTAACACTGCTAAATTCTTCAGGATGGAGGTGTTTCAATTCTTAAATTTGAGAGTGACAAAGGAAAGCACAGCAGTGCCCTTTCTGGACCATCATCAGTGCAACGTGCATTATCTTTTCTTGAGATGGAGGTTGAGCAAATGAATAAAGGACATTATGAGCATTATATGCAGAAAGAAATTCATGAACAACCAGAATCTCTTACAACCACAATGCGTGGGAGACTTAAACATGGAGGTTCTTGCAAAGCCAAGACTGTGCTTTTAGGTGGACTGAAAGATCACATAAAAACTATTAGACGGAGCAGACGTATTGTGTTTATTGGCTGTGGTACAAGCTATAATGCTGCTTTAGCTGCAAGACCTATCATTGAAGAACTTTCTGGTAATTACTTTTCACTTCTGATGCTCCATTCGGAATTTTCAAGTTTATTTTTATGATTAATTTCTTGTTTATCTTATGTGATAATTACAGGTGTTCCTGTTACAATGGAGATTGCTAGTGATCTGGTGGATCGGCAGGGTCCAATTTATAGAGAAGATACTGCAGTCTTTGTTAGTCAATCTGGTGAAACTGCAGATACTTTGCTTGCACTAGAGTACGCCCTTGAAAACGGCGCACTATGTGTAGGCATAACTAATACTGTTGGTAGTGCAATAGCCAGGAAAACACATTGTGGAATTCACATAAATGCTGGCTGTGAGATAGGGGTGGCAAGTACCAAGGTAATTTCTCCTTTGTACATGTTTGTTCCATTATTTTTTGTGTTATGGGTTAACAAAATCCTCACCATCATGTTTAGGCATACACAAGTCAAATTGTTGTGATGGTAATGCTAGCTCTGGCAATTGGAGATGATGCAATATCTAGTCGAGCCAGACGAGAGGCTATTATAGATGGTCTATTTGATTTGCCAAGTATGTTTAATCTTGAGTCCTCTTTTAACAGATTACTGGATTAAAAAGGCTTGTTTTTATTGCAGAGGTGCACTTTCAGGAAGGTTTAAAATAACTTTCATTTTTGCAGATAAAGTTAGAGAGGTACTCAAGCTTGACCAGGAAATGAAGGATCTGGCTAAACTATTGATTGCCGAGCAGTCACTTCTTGTATTTGGAAGAGGATATAACTTTGCAACGGCTTTAGAAGGCGCTTTAAAAGTAAAAGAGGTGTCTCTTATGCACAGTGAGGGGATACTTGCAGGAGAAATGAAACATGGTCCTTTGGCACTAGTTGATGAAAATCTCCCAATTATTGTTATTGCTACCCGAGATGCATGCTTTAGGTCAGTTAAATTCTGCTTTGAAGAAGTCAACTGCAGTATGGTTGTTTTGGTTTGATGATTAACACCTTTAAATTGTCAACAGCAAGCAGCAGTCAGTTATTCAGCAACTTCATGCCCGCAAAGGTCGCCTAATAGTAGTGTGTTCGAAAGGAGATGCAACTTCTGTATGTCCTGGCGGATCATGTCGAGTAATTGAAGTTCCTCAGGTTGAAGATTGTCTTCAACCTGTGGTTAATGTCATTCCTTTACAGGTATGGTTACAAATAAGTTTCTCAATTAGACAATAGTGAATCTCCCAGTTACACATCCACCTTCTTTTCGAAACCCTTCTTCCCTTTTAACAAATTTAATTAGGGATGCCAATGGATAGAGTATAAGGCGGATAGGAGATTTTCCATCCCATCTCCCAATTTTTATATTATACCTATTTCCGTACTTATATTCAAGGGGTATTTCAACTCTATTCCCATTCCTATTTTGAGTATTTAATGGATATGAATAATTTTCATCCCTATAACTTTTTTTAAAAAATAAAAATAAAAATTTATTTAACTTGTATATTTAGATAGTTTTTATAAATATATATTAATATATATTTTTTCAATAAAAATATATTAATTTTAATTAATTTAAAATAATAATTTATATAATTTAACAAAAAATTTATTTACTAATTATATATAAATATATGAAAGATACGAGTATGGGATCAGGACGGATGTTATATTACTCATTTTTATTCTCGTATTTAATAAAAATTTAAAATTATATCTATCTTCATCTCATACCCATGATATAATTCTCATCTCTATTCTAATAAAAAATCGAGTTTTTTATCGAGTACGAGTAAGATTGATATTTTTAAATTCAACTTCTCCGCTTCTTATTCATGGACTTGTTATTGTGTTATTTGTTATTGTTGGATTGTCTCAGTTTCACCTACTTGTGTTGCTTTTGTCTGCAGTTGTTGGCCTATCACCTAACTGTTCTGCGTGGTTACAATGTTGACCAACCTCGGAATCTGGCCAAGAGCGTGACAACCCAATGACAGTGATTTGCCAACTTGTTCTTTAAACCTTGAAACACAACAAGAATTAGGCTGATGGCAGAGATTACCTGATGTTCGGGTTTTGCATTGTAAATTATTAGATAAATCGCACACTTTTGACATCAGGCTCGTTCCGTTTCATTTTCCATGTCTTAACTATAAAAAGAGGTTAATAAAAAATTATTTCATTAAAAAACTACATATTTTGTTTTTCTTTAAAAAATATTTTTTGGATAAGTAGAATCTGCAGTTTTGATTTTTTCTTTTTTCTTAATAAGGGTGTAACTAAATCGAATTGAAAAGAATTCAATTTGAAACTCTCCAACTTGAACTTAACTTAAAATTTGATTAGAACTTGTCTTGAATTTAATAGAATTTTAATTTTTAAGTTTGAGTTTGATTATAGATTAAAATAGAGTTATTTGAATTTATTTAATTATAATCGTTTAATAAAATATGAGTTTAATTTTATGTTTGATTTTAAATTTAATATTATGTTAAACTTCGAGTTTAGATTTAAATAATTTGGACTTGAATTGATATATATAAAGATAAATAATATTTTTTTGATTAAAATAATAAAATTTATTAAAATTTAAAAATTCAATTAAATTTATAAATTACGTATTAAGATACTCAAACTTAATTTTTTTTATAAGTCAAATTGTTTAAATTCGAACTAAATTCGATAATGATCAAATCAAATTTGAATTTTAATCAAATCAAATTCAAATAATTTATGAGTATTGATAAATTATTTACACTCATATTCTCTACCATTTGATCATCCAAATCAATTGAACAACTGATACATGGAAGGATTGCCCAGAGTAAACCTGGTTCCTTTGCCAAAATCCCAAAGCAATGGCTAGCAGCTGCGCTCTGAAGACATAACCACCCACTTTAGACATCTTCTCCCTTTCCTCTTTCTTTCATTCATTCTATACCTTGTGGATGATGTTAAGGGGTCGATCTACAGTTGGATCCAAACCCATTTTTCCATCCCTCTCATTCTTCATATTTTCATCATCATCATGATCATCAATGTCATCAAGGTCAGGTCCATATAGTCATAAGATTGCTTCTGGAATGCCAAGCTTGCTGCTTAGATATAATTGTGTAGGAACATCACATTTGTGGAGACCTGACACTGCATCAGTCTGCGTCAAATTTAATGACCCTGTCAATGCCAGCAAGGGCTCTAGCAAGAAATTTTGGTTTTGGCTATCATTTTTTCTTTCATCCTTTCTTATTTCTTCCAGTAAAGCTTTAGTTGTGTCAATACCTGTAGCATTTAATCTCAAAACATTAGCAAAATTGGCCAGACAATACATTTCACTGATTTCTTGAATCAGTTTACTCACCAGCGAGGTATCCACCATGCACATAGCCATTAAATCTTTCACTTGTGTGTTCACCCGTAAAGAAAATGCGTCCAACTGGGGCCTGAAGATAACCAAATAAAAAACAAGCACAGTGTAAAATCATCATTGAATATGCTTTATGTGTTCTCTGGATCATCGGTAAAAGGGTTAATGTTATAAATTACCTCTAAAATGTCTAATATGATACTAAACTTTAAAAATTTCTAATGTAATACATGAATTATGAATATATTATGGGTTCTTTGATTGCCACATGTCATCAGTTGAAACAGTCACGTTAGAGATGAGTATCACGTTAGTTAACAGATTTATAGTTTAAGTATCACATTAGATATTGCACTATAGTTTAAAAGGTTAATCATGACATTACCCTGGATAAAATAATCTTACAAAACCGCACTACCGCTGGTAGAAAAGCAGAGCATGAGATAAATGCATTGCCTCCCAATATATAATTCCACTAACCCTCTAATCACACATAAGAAAGAATTTAACAGTTCACCCCATTCAGGACATAGTTACAGTTCTTTCATTTCATTTTAATATTACAAATAGAAATATAGGTAGTATAACCTGAGAGATTAACATTCAGAATATCGAACACATATGAGTTACCTTAATATCATTAAGGACTTGGTTATTAGAGATTATGGGGTAGTTGCTGTAGCTGCCACGCTGGAATCTGTTATTCCACCAGCGAGGAACAAGTATACCAGTGGCATTAGGTATGTCGGGTCCAAACATGTCTCTAAGCACACACATAGCTTCCTTCAATGTCTCTTCATTGGATTGAGTTTCCACACGTTTTGATTCACCATTCGTCAATGTTACAACCAAAATATTCGAACCAGGGTATGTATTCTCCATGTGCTGATGACATAGCAACAGATCAGCAGCTAATTTGGATGAATTGAAGGGGTAGTTAAAAAATGAATGGATGACACAATCTCTCATATTGCTGAAAGATGCAGGATTCTCATTCAAAATAGTATAATTTTTTTATTGATCATTATACAAGTAAAGAATCTACATTGGAAACTAACACAATAAGATAGTGTGATCCCATATTGCCTCTACTATACAGGCCACCTATGATAATTAAAAAGATTCATTTTCCTTCGAAATCAAGCAAGAAAAGTAATTTATGATTTTGTGAGCAACAAAATTGATTATCATAGGCATCTCATTCTCTCAATAAAACACAGAAAACAGCTCAGTTAGTGGCTGCCTCCTACAATGCAACTAATTCACGGATCTATGACAGTGACAAAATATCAGACACAACATAAAAGGGGAAACCATTACTTGCTAAGAAGTCTCTCGCAGTTGGCAACCTCTACAAGGAAAGTAGGTAATAGTTTAATTAATGTCTTTTAGCTGAAGAAGTTGCCCCCTAAAACTTGATTTAAGGTTATATTCATATGTACAACAAGTAGCATTGTCATAATATCACAAATCCATAGTATTAGTCATCACATTTTGATATATCATGTAGGCTGCTAGGTTGTTAAATGTTAATTATAGTCCCTAACAGATAAGACAACCAACAAAGTTAACCACCAACCTAATAACAAATTGATACTATATGACTGCACTGTCGTTTTATGCAGAAAAACAGGGCTTCTATTACACGATAAATAAAGCAGCGTAGGATCAAGGCAGTGCACACCACAAAGCATTCATTCAAAACAGTACGAAAAATGAAGATTAAGATTTCATTATACTAAAGTGGCAGCAACAGCAAGAGGATTGGTCAGGTCAAACATCAAAGTTAGCTGGCAACAATATTATAAAGGAAATAACGATTAAACTAACCTGCCAAAACGTGTAATAGCCTCTCCGCTCGTGAGCATAGATGAAGAACTCTTTCTCAGGCCCACAAGGCCAGAACTTATACGGAAACTTGAGGAAGATCTTGGTATACACCATCACATCACATTTTTCTATGGCTTTCGTTTTCCACCTCTGTTATCGTTAAAGTTTTTCTTGATATTAATATTTAATCATGCAAAAGTAAATTTATGATGTCAAGTAAGTTTTACACGACTAAGCAATCTTTTGTCCAGGGATCACTTGCATGGCATATAAAAAGGAAAATCATAGTCCAACATATCTCTAAGAAGTAAGTAGTTCTTTCTAAGCTCATTACGTGTAAAAGCGTACATGGTTGATTATTCCTTTTCATTTTTTATGAGTGGTCTATTTAATAGTGAAATTTCGCTGTAACAGATAACTTCCACAATTGAGTGGCATACATAAAGGCATTTCTTCCAACCCACATTATCAACACCTGAATTCTACATAATAAACACATGGATTTGATACTTAACCTAAACGATCAAACTCAAATATTTTCTCATGGATTGTTGGTCAGGTTCTCAAATAGTTCCAGTTCTACTACGTATCACTAGTACCAGCAATCATGGGGATGAGTTGATGATTACTGTTCTGTTCCTAATGGCTTATGTCTAAACATGTCTTACCTGCTCGCAAAATTGCTTAAATCATGGGTTGACCTAAACACTCTTGTGAGTGAAATAGCCAAACCTATCTTCGTACCCATATACGACTATTAGATTTTAAGAAATCCAACTAAAAAGCCTAGGTTACCCAGGCAAAGCACGTTAAAGCTCCGATGTCCGCTCATTCTAACATTACTAGGACTAGCCTGTTTAATTAGTAGCTAGTGCCTAGTATTAGCATTATTTTCAAGATAATGAACTGCAGCTGTCACAAAATATTTTATTTGCAAATTATCAACTCACACCGTACACGTGTTGTTCTAAAAAAATCTCACGAGCCTAAACCCCAGAAAGAGTTAATCACATGAGCCTATGGTTTACAAAATCTGTGGATCATCTTGGAATCCATGGTATTTGCATACAATAAAGACACCTCGAAATATAGATCCCTTTCATCATCCACCGGCAAACTCTATTGAATACAAGTTAAGTGGCCAGAACCACGAATTCTGACTCTTTCTAACTTTATGATATTTAATATTGCATGTGCCACCATCTTTAAAAAATAAGGAAAACAATTTGGCTAGGGAAAAGATCCATTTGACAACTCCCATCTGTGGGAACCCATAGCCTAAGGTTCATATCCTAATCGCATTCAATGGTCAAGATCTTCCTATTAATGCAGATAATGTTGATGAACAAGTGGGTAAAGAAATGCAAGATTTTATTGGGTTTTGTTAGTATATAAAAACGGCAGATGAGAAAATCTAATAAAGAAAGAGGAAACATACGGGCAAGGGTGGCCTGAAGGAAATGAGGTCGCTTTGGAGAACACCAATGCTAGCAGACAAAATTACGTAGTTGGCTTCGTAAACGCAACCATCCTCTGTTCTCACCGTGACACCATTTCTCGAGTGCTGCAATTCCCTGACAACCTGCCACAAATCCATGCACAAAGAAACATCTTTAGCATATAATTACTACTATATGTAGCAAACAGGAACTGATTAGTTAATTGAAATAAAAAAAATAAAAAAAGTGAGTAGGAGGAGTCCAAGCTAACAGCCAACAACTCTCATATATTCTAAGAAGTCAAAGCAAGAAAATCCGTGCAGTTCAGATATCACATCAGAAGCAGTTAAGGTATTGAAGGAAGTACGTGGAGCCCCATGCCCCCATCAACCATTTACGAGAGGTTTCCAGAAGGCACTAAGAATAGTAGGGAAAAAAAAAGAAGAAAAGGTTCATTGATGTCTGATTTGAAGAGCAACGGAGACAGTAGAAGACAACATGTTGAATGAAGAAAATGATAAGGCTATTTGCGAGTTGTTTTATGACTTCGATAAGACATCTCAACTCCTGGGTGTTGTTCTTTGGTCATTATGAACAGTGAAAATTGGGGAATTGGGGTCCTACTGGTTGATGAATGATAATAGTGAGGTAAAAGTGCTTGAAATGTTTTAAATATTGAGCTGAATTCATGGCAATATGATTCAAATGAAAAATGCAAGGTCAAATTATGGCCCTTCGAAGAGTTTCACCGCTTTGCATTATTGAAATTGTTCATAGTTGTGAACAGACCTATTTGAGGTTGACGAATTATTTTCTTGTTTTTAGACAGTGTTAACATCATTTCAGTGAAGGAAAAGAAGAATTCATCATATGAATCAAGAAAAGAAACAAGCAACAAATTTTCCAATTTTTCAACAAGAAAAATATATTAGCATTAATATTAAAGACCAATGAGCAGTAGTCTATTTCTCTATAATGATCATGATGATAGCAAGAAAAAAGAGAAAATCAATATAATTATTCAATAAAAGAAATTGAAAAATAGAAACCAGAAAACAGTTGATCTTCCATGGTGTATATAATAAATAATAAAACAAATAAAAGTCACATTGATAATTAAAATATTATTTCACCTAGGGCATTAGATAATGATTAATATTTCCCCTATAAACAAAGGTTAAAATAGCTTTCAAATAAATGGCATTATCTGCAAACTCCCAAAATTGGATCAATCCATCTTAAGAACAAAAGGAAAGCAGTACATACATACAAAAAAGAGCTTCAGTTTTCTTTTTTTTTTCCACACTTTCTGCTCTTTTTTTTTTTCGTATTTATTATCTCATTACCCTCTCTCCCTTTCCCTTTGTTTTCATCCCAGGATTGAGTGACAAAAAACCAAAATAAACCATATCATATGCATTGATTTAAACAGCATTTGTGATGCGGTATAACGATCTTCTGCCTTCCGTCATTGATACTCATCACAATAGAGATGTAAATCATTATTCACTCAAATAACGATGAGTGCATCCGGTATAATAAAAAATTACAATCATAATGGAACACTAAAATTATTATTTGTGTTTTTTATAATAAATCTATAAATTTTATAGTATATTAATATCGAGTTATAATTGAAATATAAATGTAAAATTAAAATATAATAAATTACTTTAAATATCATAAATAAATATTATTATATCAAATTATTTTTTATTTTTATTTATGATAAATTATAAAATTTTTAAAAAAATTTACAACCACAATTAGCACGTTACCACTATTTATGTCAACCATAAATATAATGCGACTGAAAACACTACTGCAATCGTGTTTTAAGTTGGACTAAAAAATTGACTGAAAAGAAGCCAAAGAAATTAAAGAGCTGGATTTTATACCTTATTGAGTTTGAGTCGATTGTCCAGGATTTTACCCTCCGAGGTAAATAGAAAATCCTCAACCATTTTATACAGTAAATACTCATAACCTCTTTCATCTGCCACCAAGAACTCTCTTTCCCCAAAATCAACAAATGTTGATATTGGCTCCACCTCTGTTTGCTAAAACAAAACAACAAGCATTAGTAAAATAAAAAAAAAAAAAAGGGAAATTTTATGCTCTGTTCAATGTGAAAGTAAGAAAAGAAATTTGTGTAATACTAGATGTTATCATTGTTATTTGGATTTTTTTGTTACAAGTTACGACCACAAATTATAGTCAGGAGCCAGGTCAAGATTTTTTTAGCATGTTTTTCACGAAGTAAAACCAACCCAAAATTCCAAATGCATGAATCATAACTAAAATATCTTTCATTTGCATTTCTTGACTTTTCTTAGCAACCAAACAGGGAAAAAGAAAATGAAGTGTAGAACTTGCCTGCCATCTCAAAATCGTGTAATATGAAGTCGATTGCAAGCTCTATTGGTGTCTTGGGTGTTCTAAAAAATCCACCATGAAAACGAAAAAGGAATTGGAAACGTTAATCCACTTACCCTGAGAAATCAAATACTACAAGTAGTAAATTAATAATCAATAATTATGAGATTATTATCATGTGTTGTTCTTACAAAGGTAACTCGGTTCTATTGGAATTATCGTCGAAACCGTTTGCCTCTTGGTCCCTTAGTTTCTGAATCGCTGAGTCCACCGCTTTCTTGTACGAGTCAGCGGCGATTCCACTCGGAAATATCTTCCCGCTGCAGGTCATTCATAAAAAGATTCAGCTTTAATTCATTAATGCGTCCAAACGGTGCCGTTCAGAGAAAAAGTTTCTCCCATCTTTCAAAGCTCAAACATTCACCGCCAAATGAAATAGTTAAAAATTCCGGGTTTCGATTTCGGACCTCCGATCATATATGTTATAGCGGGCATTGCTGTAGTCAGAGAAGCAGGTTCGGAGGCCCAGTTGTGCGGCTAGCTCCCAAACCGGATTCGACTCTTTGCCACCTACACCGACGATCCAACCCGCTCCAAGCTCCACCGACACGCCTCCGAACATTTCTTTACAAATCCGACCGCCGATTCTATCGGACGCTTCCAATATCACCAAATCCTCAATTCCGTTCTCAGCCAAAACCTTCGCCGCTGATATACCTAAAATCATCAATTAAAAATATAATCCGTCGTCGAGAAAAATCCTTTTTTTTTCAAATTATTAATTTATAATAACATGTAATTAATATCCACATCTTTGTTCGTTTAAAAGAATTAATTTACTGTTTGGTTAGATTGCTTTATGTTACCGACCGGAGACGCCAGCGCCGATGACGATGACCGAGGAGAGAGAAGAGGAATCCATTGAGAAAGGGAGAGAAATAAAGATGGAAGGAGAAGGCAATCTGTGTTTTGAGTTTGAGTTGAGAGAGGCAGAAATAGCGGGCGTCGGCTTATATAGGCTTTATTTTTCATTTTCAGTTTTTTTAATTCTACTTTTTAATTAAAAAAACGTGCCTTTTGGTTTATTGCAATTTTTCATCCTCCGACAAATAAATGTTTCATTTAGATAATTAATGAAAAAAAATTTTTAAAAAAATTTCACCAGATAAAATTTCTTTTTCATGGACAGTTCAAGTGAGTTAAACATTTGATTTTTAAGAGTGATATCAAATTGAATTTAATTTTATTTTTTAAAATAATATATAAAATTATAAATTTTTAAAATTTGATTTGATTTAAATTTTCATATGATCTGATCTTAAATGAGTTGTATTGGTTTAATTTTTTAATTTATATATGTATATATTGTTTTAATATAATTTTAATATATTTAAATAAATTTAGATATAAAATAATTATTTATATTTTATAAAAAATTAAAATATATACAAAATAATAAAATATATAATTTAATTCATTTAATTATTTGTTTCATTTCTCAATTCAAAATCTTATCTCAATTTAATATATATTTAATATTTAAATTTAATTTAAATAAAATTAAAAAAATTAATTCAAATCAAATCAAATATTATAATTTCAAATTAATTTTTTAATTTTTAAGATTTTTTTTCTCATCCCGTTGAATTCCATTCCATCAATGATTCGTCCATGAAAATCCAATGCAACTGCTTTGAAATTTCCTAGTCGGCAATTTGCTTGTTTTCCTCGTTTCTGATTTTGGACGTTGGTTCATCCATTAATGTTATGTTTTAATTTTTTTTTTGAAATTAACTTGAGAGAAGAATAATTTTGTTTTTCAGCTTAATTAGCCGCTACCGATGCATGGATGATTAAATTTAAACATATTAGCGGGCATTTGACATGCTTATTTAAATTTTTTTTATACATCATTGAAAAAATTGATTAAGATATCAATCAAATTATATTAATTTCATTATTATATTGTAACAAGGATGGTTACATTATCCTTATCAACAATTGACTGGCTTTTGTATATCCGGAAATTAATACAAAAATAAAAGTACCAATAACATTGAGATATGTTATTATATTTATATATTGACGTTTGAGAAGACTCGCGGGTGACAGCAAAAATTACGTATATAATTATAGATTTTTTTCCATATTAGAAATGGTTCGGATTGAATTGAATTGAATTTAATTTTTTAATAATATATAAAATTATAAATTTAAAATTATAAATATTAAAAAATTAATTCAAATTTCAATTAAATTTTTATATAATTTAATCTAATTCAAATTAAATTCTATAAATTTAGTTTGATTAATTGATTTTTAAATATTATTTTAATATAATTTTTAATACATTTAAATAAATTTAAATATAAAATAATTAATTTTATTTTATAAAAATTTAAAATATATGTAAAAATTAATAAAAATATATAACTTAGTTCAATTTAATTTTTCTTATTTTTATAATTTAATATATATATATATATTTAAGATTTAAATTTAATTTAAACGAATAAAATAACTCAATCATAACGGATTAAATATTATAATTTTAAATATATTTGATATTTTAGATTTTTTTTTCATCCCTAATAAAATGATACGGTTGCAGTCGTCAACGGTCAAAATTTGTGGCCCCAACCCCACCCCACCACACCCAAATTAGAGGAGTTGGGGGGTGTCAGGTAGCTGTTGGTTATCAAGTGGAGCTGTCAGTAGCTTGCAAACTCCAAATTGGCTACAGTTGGTAATCATTGCAATTTTATGTGTATCGGCATAATTATTTTCTAGTATTTCTATCCATTTTAGTGGAAATGGAAAATTAGAAATTAGACAAACATGCATGCAATGCAAGATTTGTGCTTGTTTTCTTTTGTTAGTTCACCCTTGTCTAATCAAAGTGACTTTATATATATATATATATATATACATATATATATTCGTAAAAATTATTATTTTTTGAATCTATTTGTTAATGATATTTTATGATAAAAAAGAGAATGAGTATTTTATTTAAAAAAAATCATTAATTAGATAAAAATAATTTAATTATTTTGATTTGAGTTAACATGTCGAGTCAATTTAAAATCTCAGATCTTACATTAATTCAATTATCTTAATTGATTATTAAATAATACATATAAATATTAATTTATCACCTCTCAATTGAATTGTTAACTCTTAGTTTAGATTTGATTAGCAACTTCCACCTTAACCTTATATTTGAAGCTTTAGCCACTAGACTTGACACATTCAACATACAAATATAAATAATCCATTCTTTGGTACTTTAAAAATTTTCATATACATTAACTTTTAAATTTTTTTTTTTTTTTAGTATTAATTTGAGTATAGGAACACAAATACTAAAAAAAATTTTGTTTTTGCATTTTTTATGGATAAATTGCAATTTTATTATCTAAGAAGTAGTAAACACTGTTACAATATACTTTCTTTACAGTCAAACTATACAACTATACAATGCTAATTGCACGAGAATTACATAAGGAAACTTCCTCTAAATAAATCCCATCTCTCGCATAAGTCCTTGCTGACCTAATCAAGCGCAACATTCCTTAATCCCATCAATTTGATTTTGACTATTTCCTTAATTTGTTTCAGAATCTGCTCTTCAGCACCTTCTTCTTTATTGAACTGCCATTTGTTTCTTTATTTCTATATTAGGTAAATGCTTATTCCCCAAACTATTCCTATGATTTTTGTTATTAACCGACCTTTCATCTTATGATTTTAGATAAGAGTGATAACGATTTAAATCAGATTGGATTCAGTTCAATTATTTCGGATTGTGAATTTTTGAAATTTAATCTGAATCTAAATTGATCTTCTCTTAAAATTGATCCAATCCAAACTAAATTTTATTGATTCAGTTTATTGGTTTTTAAATTTTAAATTTTTATATATTATTTTAATAAAATTTTTAATATATTTAAATAGATATGTATAAAATAATTGTTTTTATTTTATAAAAATTTTAAAAATATATAAAATTAATAAAAATATATAATTCGATTCATTTTTTTTATTTTTATTCAAAATTTTATTCAAATTTAATATGTATATTTAATATTTAAATTTGATCCGAACTTAATAAAAAAAATCAATATAAACTAACATTGCAAGAAAATGACGTATTAGTGGTAGTTTTGTAGCGGCTATTCACTTATAAACATCACTAGCTTCTGTGTTTTTATAAAACTTAAGGCATCTATTATCAAAACGTCACTAAATATTCAAATAGCGACGTTGTTACTTATAAATGTCACCCAAGACTTGATATTAGCGGCATTTCTCGATTAAAACGCCTTAAATAATCTGCCTTAAAAATTTTAGTGAATACTAAAGGCATATTTTTGACAGACAACGCTTTCAATAATCACCTAATAAAAAATTGTATGACATTATTGAAGGTGTTTTCTACAAGAAACGCCTTTAATAATTGGACAAAAAAATTCCACTGGCTTATTGAAGTCGTTTTTGTTAAAAAACGCCTTCAATAAATATTATATCAAAATGTTTACATCGTACGGATATTAACCATAAGGTTATAGGTTCGATCCCTCTCTTTAGCCTTTTTTGGGTCTTTGCGAAAATTATTTGTAATTGATTATTGTAAGTATTTTCTTGGCAAAAATACCTTCATCAATTGCTTTAAAAAATTTTACAGAGAATATTAAAGGCGTTTTTCGCAGAGAAACGCCCTTAATAATTCATAGAAAAAATATGAAGCCGATTCTTGAAGGCATTTTTGGTTGAACTTGCCTTCTATACTCCAATCAATAAATTTTTGTAGTGATTATTAAAAGCGATTTTTGTAAAAAACGTCATTAATAATCTATAGACAAAAGTTTGAACGGATGCTTGAAGGCGTTTTTGGCTCAAAATGCCTTTAATATTCAAGATGATAAATTTTAATGATCAGATTATTGAAGGCGGTTATATCCAAAAACACCTTCAATAATATTTTGTTAGAGATTATTCAAGGTGTTACCCATAGAAAAACGTCCTTCATAATCTATTGATTAATTTTTAGTTGGTATTATTGAAAGCATTTTTTTAAAACGCCTTCAATAATTTATACAAAAAAGATGCGATGAATTTTGAAGGTATTTTTTACCCAAAACGCCTTTAATATTCCACACAATAAATTTTTGGTGGGATTATTGAAGGTGATTTTGGTAAAAAATACTATTAATATTTCAGACGATAAATTTTAATGATCGAATTATTGAAGGCGGTTATATCCAGAAACACCTTCAATAACATTTTGTTAGGGATTATTCAAGGCGTTACCTGCAGAAAAACGCTATTTATAATTCATTCAATTAATTTTTAGTTGGTATTAAAAAACACCTTTAATAATCCATACAAAAAAGATGCGATGGATTCTTGAAGGCGTTTTTTTTTTCCAAAATGCCTTTAATATTCCACACAATTAATTTTTGGGATGATTATTGAAGGCGATTTTGGTTAAAAATGCCTTTAAAATTTTCTGTTAAGGATGATTCAAGACATTTTCTTGCTAAAAACGCTTTCATTAATCCCATCAAAAAATATATTTGATATTGTATATGTCAAGTCAGTTGTATATTAATGCCCATAAAACATTTGGTTTTTATATGTGATACTATGAATTACATGTTGAAATTTACATAATGAACATTGTTGTATTTCAATAAATTGACCACATATCCGAAATTAAAACTGATAACGTTGCCATATTAATATACTTTTTTAAAATAATCATACTCAATAATTTATTAAGTACACATAGTGTATTCATATTAAGTATAACAATAATATTAAACCAATATCTCAATGTACAAACTTAAAGTTTTCATTCCACATGGCATGTTCAAAATATTATAACAATTTGTTCCTTATATATTTACATTCAACCAACAATGTCTAACCTGAATGTTTATCAACATTGATAAATGATA